TTTCAGAATTTCAGAGATACCTGTTTCTAGAATTCACCTACTCACTTCATACACAGGAGGAACATTGGCAGCACCAACGCTCAATTGTAGATAACTGGTTAGTGCTTTAATAATGCACCCCTCTCTTCAAAATGGTAATTGTGTCTCAGAAGCGTTCACTTTAGAAAGAGGAGAAGTTCAGATTCAAAACACATGTCCCTTTGATACCCCAGTTCAATGCTTCTCAAGTGCTATCTGCGAACAATTCATAACTGTTCAAAGTGATCCACCTTTCCTTTCCTTCCTTAAGAATTTTTGAAATATTGAGCAATGTCTAGAATTAATCAGTTAAGAGCTGAACTGCTCCACAGAATCATGTTCTTTACAAAAAACAACATTATCAAGGAGCTCTACTATATTTATTTGTATACAGAGTATCTGCAACGTGACTGACTGCTTTATTGATAGTTATCTACGCATTTATTCTTAAAAAGAAATGCCTTTCTCCTGAATGTGACTATTTCAAAGAGAAGAAAGTGACGTTATTAGCCTTGGAATTTGAATCGATTCAGAAGCAGAAGAAGCCGACGTCTTGACGCATTGTAAAAGTCCTTCGACGATCAAGAAAAACTACACAGAACTGTTTCATCCATAGAACAGCTAGCTCCACATTTACTAATTCACACTTTGTTATCTTTTGTATTAGTTGTTTGTGTTTTTGTTTCGATATTTTAATAATTTGTTTTCTAGTTTTCATTTAAAATGAATGCGGTTTTTTTAAGTACAATTATCTTCTATTCAGGTATACTATATAGCTATATACTTATCTATAGCATCATTAACTACTTATCATGGTCGTCACAGTCGAATGCCCTACTGAGATCAGAAAATATCCCAGTAGGGCACTCGCCCAAGTCGATTAGGGTTATGAGATTTCCATAAAAGGAACGTCAGGATCCACTGACGCTGTACTAGCTTCTACTATTTCTAAATCAATGTTGGTTTTCAGATGAAGTGTTTTCAGAAGCATAGTCCCATTTAGTTCAGACGTCTGGCCACAAAACCGCAAACATGCTGGGGACAACTCAAATAGACATTTGGTAGAGAGCGGTAGGCAGGACAGAATGGGAAAGGTTAGGTATAACAAACTAGCGAACTGGAGAAATTATGTAGACAATGCACACAATACTAAATGATATCAAAAACAAACAACTGATTTGGATCGGACATGTGCAAAGAAATGGCAGACTACCCAAGCAAATCATTTAGTGGAAGCCAGAGGAAAGAAGAAGGCGCGGCAGCCGAGAAGAGGCTGGAGAAGTAGAGTAGACGAGATCGACGAAGAAATGAGAGAAAGAGGCTTGGATTGACAAAGATGTTCGAAAATCGGGAAGGAAGACGTAGAACGTTAAAGCCCGATGATTATTGTAGGGTCGACTCAATGCTTTATTCCCTACTATCAATACCTACTTCCAGTACAGTTATTTACCCCTCTATTCCCCTCCCGCCTAGTACGTCTGAACCACTTGAAATAAAGAGAGAACACAATAATTTTACATAGAGCGCCCCCTTGTTTCTCGGTTGGCCAAAAAACCCACAAAAAGGGAAAAGAAGGTCAGTGACTGAGATTGATTAATAGAGAGAGTACCTATTTTTTTTATTTTTGACGAGCACATACGATTCGAAGACGTTGGTCGTTTTTTGCGTAATTATTATTAGAAGACGTGTTTATTTTTGCTATCAAATCGTTCATTAGAAGCCGCTTAGTTTATTAAGTTAATTAGGGTGACTGCGCTGGTTTGCCGACCACTACTAGTTCTCGACCACATTCACCTTTAATCAGGAATAAATAGTAAATATGCACTCGTTCTTGTCCAATAAATGCTGAAATGGCTGCCAGACAGTTTTCCCAATCTAAAATACCATTGAGATTTAATAGGCGATAAACGGTTTCGCCTTCAAAATTCATTTGAATAGTCGCTGTCAAGGGGGTTGTTGTTTACGCATTATATCTATAAAAAGTGTATGTGTGTTTGATGTAGAAAATAGTAAGTATTGTTCTTCTTGAATGTAAGACCTTTCACCAATTGATTTTATGTTATAGTAGGTTAATTTTTCTATCGAATTTACGAATAAAATATAGTGTGAAACAATTTTTTACATAAAATTTTTGTTGGTCGGGAACTAATATACAAAATATATCAGAATTTAGTTTACGACCGGGGTGGTCGAGAACTGAGTTTCAAGTCGTCCATTTTCAATTCATATAATAATATTTAGAAAAGTCGCGATGACTTTCTGTTTTTAATTGTTAGTTGAATATTGAATATAATTTTTATTTTTTAGTTTACGACCACCACTTTTCATTTAAATATTGCGAAGAAAATTGGATATAGATTTTGCAAAAATATGTGGTCGAGAAACTAGCTTATTATAGTCCATTTCTCGTCCACTGTAGTTTCAAGTGGTCGAACATCTAAATATGGATCTGATTTTCGACCAGCATGTTTTTCTAATGAGAAACTCTGGACGCCGAACCAACATGATTTTATTTAAATAATTTCTTCTCATCTAGTTTTCGTCCACATAATTTTTTTTTTAACTTCACTTAAAGTCCGTTTTTTTTTTAAAGATAATTCCCCAAGTCAAAAATTTTGTAACTATGTTGGCAACAGAAGCCTTTTCTACATACAAAATTTGAAAGCATTGCCAATTTTACATTGTATTGCCAACATAATGTCATTATGACTTTTGTCTTAAAAAAAAAAAAAAAACTTTACCTAAAGGAGAGAAAACCCCTAGTGCAATTGCTTCTGAAAAATGGAGAGAATACTATAATAAAAAGAAAGACGAAATCCATAAAAAAAAACAAGTATAGGTAGCCCGAAGAAAAGAAAAATGGAAAATGACAAAAGAAAATAATTCAAAAAAAAAGTTCAGAAAACTCTCAAAAAGAAAAAAATAAAAAATACTCAAAAACTCACCTCATCCAAATCTAAAGTATCCTCTTCATTATGCCAAGAAGATCTTTAAAGTGACACAGAGGATGAAGATAAGAAAAACATCGGCTGTGACTTTTGTGAAAAATGCTTTCACAAAAAGTGTACCTACCGAATTTGTTGATACTCCCTAATCCCTATGTGATTGTCGCCGTTCAAAGATTAGGTATAAATGTAGTCAATGCTAATTTAATTTCATCAAATCTAAACATTTCATATTTTTCGTTAATTTAAAATAGGGGTAGATAGGTAGATACTTAGCCTATTGAAACTTTTTAGTTTTAGCAGTTCCATATTTTTAAATATTCTAATTTTAGTTTTAATAAGAACTGCCCTTTTGTAATAGATTTTTATTTATTTATTTTTATATTTTGAGTTGTTTTGTTTTCATTTTTTTTTTTAATGTTTTATGTCCTTGTCTTTATGGGTACTAGGTATAGTACCTAATTAAAAGAGAATTTATTATTGTTTTTTTAATCCTATAAGTTTTTTCATAGGTAATAATCCGTTTATTCTCGTTTAAACTTATGTTCCTATTTTTTTTTTTTATAAGAAACTGCCTTTTAGAAAATAAACTTTGATTTCATACTACTGCTATTTTTTTTTTACTACCTAGGTAGGATTTATTATAGCTTTCTATGCTTATTAAAAGGTGGTCGAAAACCAACCCAAAAATGGTCGGAAATTGCGACCAGTGGTCGAGAACTAGCTAAATGGCACTTTTTTCATATTTTTACTAAAATTACACATTTCATCGAACAAAAATTAAAAAAATATATAAAATTTGAATTCGCAAATCTTCAGACTTTTAGAAAATCTTAGTCTTATTAATATATTTTAACTAGACATATTTTTATCGTGTTTTGAAGTGGAAGTTTCAGTTAACTGGTCGAAAACCAGCACACTGACCCTATGTGAAGTCGAAGTTTGTTTTCCCAAATAATGTGCTGGAATTAAATTGTTTTTCTTGCGACTATCCGTGCCGTTTTTCATTTCATCCCTAGACTAAATATAAAACCCTACATTATTCATAATGTTATTATTTTTACAGTGCGAATGAAGTCGAAAAGCGTATTCAAAAACCTTTGGAAAAGCCGATAGTGCGGTAATTGGCCTGTACTTTTCCACATTTTGCCCGTTACCTTTCTATGAATTACATTGTTGCCAAGAAGCCGACGTCGTTTTAACGAACCCTATCGCGAGTATTCAGGAAGTGGACTTTTGTGATTTAAATGAACAAGCATTGACCTGATCGTAGAGACTTCTCGATTTAATGTTTTTGTATATGAAGCGCGTAGTATGTAGGTCAGATTTGATAAAATGATCTAAAGGACGTTTTCGTCAGTTTTCGAGATTTTTTATAAAAATGATATTTGTAGTCAATCCACAAACCCTCTTCACCCTGTACATATACTTAGTATAGGAGCTTTTTCTGAGTACATTTCAGATCCTATTTACGTTTTCTAACTGTTGTAAAAACAAGGTAGATATTCTAAAATTCTAAAATTACCTTTCCTATTCCTAGTACTTAAAACTGGGGAAAACACGAATCCAAATACGACCTTCCCTGCAATCTACAATCTAGTAATGCAGTGGCGGAGCCAGAAAATTGCCAACAGAGAAAGCTTCGAACTTATAGAATTTTCCGCATGGATCCGACACTGTTGTAAGTTAATTACACTGTACTTTCACGCAAACCTTTAGACCTAAACGGTTTATACAACGCGTCTATCAGATTTTTATTTCTGATAAAAACGCCCTAGATCTACGATGGGCCTCTAAAAACCAGTTCTATCCAAATATCGTGGTCTACAGTTTAGTTTACGACGTTCACGGTCAAATATCTAAACTATACTGCACGAAACTACATTTTTAAAAAATGTTGCTACATTGATGAATTATCTGAAAGTAAATAAATACCATAATGATGTTCAAGTTATGAAAAGCCTCGATCATAATATCAACTTGATTTTCAATATCTACCAATAATAATTGTTAGTTACCTAATTAATTATCGCGAAAATGATTAATACTGGATTCGATCCTCTGCAACATACAAGCGTGTATCATGGCAAAGAAGGTATTTATTTCTTCATTTGAAATTCTATTGACGGATACACACTCCCGCGAGATGTTTTGATTCACGCCCACTCTGTTAGAATTGCTTTCCATAAATCAATATGCAGTGGTAATATATTGGTTACTCTTCACGTCATTAAAATATAATAGTGAAAACGCACTTCGGGAAGAAAATTGATATTAAATTAAGCCAAGCTATCATTATTTTGCAGATTCAGATGATAGTGACGGAGAAGGAGGTTTGGGAAACGTAAACCGACAAATTATGCGCCCTCCAGGACACAGTGGAAAGGCTAAAAGGGGTCATCTCTGCTTTGATGCTTCGTTCGAGTGCGGAAATTTGGGAAGAGTGGACTTAGTTAATGAATACGAATATGATTTATTTATAAGACCTGATACATGCAGTCCTAGACTCCGATTTTGGTTCAATTTTACTGTGGATAATGTCAAATTGGAACAAAGGGTTATATTTAATATTGTTAATATTAGTAAAGAAAGGAATTTATTCATGGAGAATATGACACCTCTGGTCAAATCATCGAGCAGACCCAAATGGTAAGCAGTGATTTGAAGCAAATTATTTTTAGCGTTTGCCAAACCCTTGAGAATACTGTAACCTACTAATTAAAAAATGATTCAATATTTGTATTTTCGAACTTTGCTTTGAAACTTACCAACAAATCAATATCTCTCTACATCATACATTCGTAGAGTGATGATACCAATTTGTACCGTTTTTGAACATAATGCTTAGAAACTATTGACAAGTTGGTGAATGAAAGGCTATAATAGATCGTGGCCCGTTAGACACATTAGGACATTTAGGACAAAATATTAAAATACCAACTCCCATTAGACTAGAACCCTTCTGATTCTTCTGAATGGAAACTCAGAAGGGTGAGTCTTTTCGGTTGTTCTATTCGTCTTTGACGCTCTAATCAAATAATTTTTTTTTTATGTGAAATGGGATCAGCTACTGTGACTTAGAGAATCTATACCAGAGGGTTTAAGGCAGAAACATTGAGGTACACGCAATAGAGTTATGAGTTTATATAATATACTTCATCCAAATCCTAACTTCAGTCAAACTTCAGTGAACGTCAACAAAGTCAGGTGCGGCAACTCTTGGAGACTGAGAGTCGCCAGGGTTGCACTAGCACTTAGGAAATGTTCTATTTTGCAATTTCATTGTAGCCATAAAACCTGTTATACTAAGTTATCTTCAGTAGAAGACGTGTCACTTTCAACATTAATTTATTATCTAAGCTGCAACTAGCACCTCTCACCTCACCTCTGTTGAATGATTGTCCAATTCCTAAATTTGTTTTTCCGAGTTTCGATTTTATGTTCCATAGATATTCCAATGTCTCCAAAATGGCTTCTGAGTGTCAAAATCGAGTACGTGTTGTGAAAATGATCAAATTCTTCGTTTTATCAGCGTGATATCTGGATCGATTGGACCAAAAAAATGTTGTGTTTAGATTTTTCCGGCTGTCAAAGTTGCGAAATATCAATTTTCACCTTGATATATAAAAGGAGTTGATACGACATTACTCATGAAATGCTCTAGATTTTTCTGCAGCATTCAAAAACGCAATCACATACAGGTTTCTCTTTTATTTGAAGTTCCAAAGTTGGCGTTGGTTTCCGATAGACCCAACACTACAGTTTCGAACATGTTAATAAATGGACAGTGATGTATTATGACCGTGTAGTACCACAAAATTAATGTTCCTGTTCTCCATGAACCTCTAATAGGCGATGGCATGAGGTACCATATATTATTATATTTATATGAATTCTACTGGAAATGTAAATTTTAATCATATATATTTCATGTAAAATATATCCTATACCTCACTGTAACAGTTTTCGAGAAAATCGCTTTTCAAATGTGAAAAAGTACCTCAGTTTTAATTTACATTTGACAAAAAACTATTGAAGTTAGGTTGAAACTACTACTACGATATTTTCTCAAATCACAAAAATGATAAGTACTTCCGTTTCGACTGCTAGGTTAAGGTTTTCTCAACTTTCGAGCTAATTTAATTGCAATAATTTTATTGATACCCAATACTGATAACTAAAAATTCGTAGGTATTTCAATTTTTTTTATGTAGGTAGGTACCTACATTTTCCTGATCTGAAGTTGACTGTTTTTGAGATATTGAAACAGTAGGCACCTACGTACAGTTCTGTTTTCCTCTTCAATTACATGTTTTAAAGTCTAGTTTTTTTAAGGCAAAGAATACCAAAAAAACACGTATTCTACCACAAATCAAATGTCCATCAAGGCCACTACGTATTGAGTTTTTCTTTTGGCTTTGATAAAGAAGAAGATATTTTTCAGTTTGCTTTGGCTCCACCCTACAGCTATTCTAAACTTCAAACATTTTTATCCTCACTTGAAAAAAAGGCTGCCTACCTTAATGATAGTTTTACTAAAGAACTTCTTGTTAATAGTGTGGTAAGTTGGGTTAAAATTGCAATTACTATTTCGTTTTATTTGATTTTTTTTCAGCAAAAGCGAAGAATTGATTTAATTACTATAGGGTCCCTACCTCCTGTTTCCAATGTGAAAACTAAACCTAAAGTCAAAAGAAGAATGGTTTGTATAATGGCTCGAATCCATCCTGGAGAAACCCCTGCTAACTTTGTCTGTCAGGGTCTTCTGGAACTTTTAATTAGTTCAAGTCCTATAGCAGCTATTTTACGAGATAATGTTATATTCAAGGTCATACCAATGCTGAATCCGGACGGTGTATTTTTAGGAAACTACCGAAGTACTGTTATGGGGAGCGATCTAAACAGATCTTGGCACATTGCCAATCAATGGCTTCATCCAACTATTAGGGCTGTGATCGATACATTGACAATATTAGACAAAAGTAAAGTTAGTAAGATTTGAATTATTTTCCTTTAACTGTGGGTCAGCATGTTTTATATTTTTAGGAATTTCAGTTGGATTTTGTTGTAGATATTCATGCTCATTCTAGTTTAACAGGATGTTTTGTATATGGCAATACATATGATGATGTCTACAGGTAATATTGCAGAGTCTGTCCAAAAAACCATTTAATGAACATGTTTCGCTTTTATATTTTTAAAACAATTTTCTGTATGCTGTAGATATGAAAGACATATTCTATTTCCCAAACTTCTCGCAACGACATCTGATGATTATGTACCTGCAAACACCATGTTTAATTCCGATAGTTCAAAAGTAGGCACATCTAGAAGATTTTTATGCTCTTTATTGAACGAAAAAACTAATTGCTATACGTTTGAAGTATCTATATTTGGTTATAAATTGAAAGGAAGTGATATTTTAATACCCTATTCGGAAGAAAGTTGTATCCTTTTCTCTACCACTTAAAAAAAAAATTAATACTTAAGTATAAAATTAAAATTGGATTTATCTTTAACAAAATTTAATAGATATGCGATGTGGAAGAAATCTCGTAAGAACTTTTCTAGAGTATTACCAAAACACTGGTGCAATTCCACTCCAAATAACATCAGCAGTATCTAGTCAAAGAAAACGAGCCAGGACATGCCAAGTACGGCAAAGAAATAAGAATTATGTAAGGAATAAAACTCCTTTGACTGGCCGAACTCAAGCTCAGCTACATTTCAAACACTTAAACATGAACTATGACAGTGAGACCTCTGCGGACGATTGTACCTTTTCTAATAGAAATGCGAGTCCTAGAAAATATTTCGACAAAATACCGGAACACTTCAACTCAAGAAAAAGTGCCAAAAATGTGTCTCAGAAGAATTATCACTTTAGAAGCGGTTCGCCTATAGCTACAACATTTGTGGTTCTACCGGAACCGAGTTTAACAGTAATCGATTTCAATGTAATGTCTCGAGATGATATTGATAGGGTTTCCAATTTCAATAAAATAAAGAAAGTTTTCAATTGTTAAATATTTGTCTTGATTGTTGCTAATATCGTTATCAATATCAAAGTGGTGGCGTCTTTTACAGTTCAAACTAAAAGGCTGTTCCATCTTCCTTGCCTTGGGGTCCCCATTTTCATAGAACGTTGCTTGCTATCACACAATATGATATAATAACTCTGATAACAAAATCCACATTAAAAAGTCCAAAGCGCATGCTCCCTAAATAATAGAAATCTTTGGAGCATTAAAAAAATAATCCATACTATGTTTGTTCTTTTTAGGAAAATTTTTCGCAAATTAATATGAGCAGCATATGCTTTTTTGAACTTATGCTCTAAAATGTTATATAAATACCCGATGGCCTATAAATTTTAGAATGTTTGAAAAAAAAGGCTCCTATGTTTATATTTCTGGTTTAGAAGAACATCCATAAAACTTATTTTGAATGAACATGTAACCTTACATGTTAGGTTAGGTCGGAAATGAGTGGGCCCATTACGGCCCTCTACTCAGGGCCGGATTTTACACTCGTGCAACTCGTGCGCCGCACGAGGGCGGCATACCCAAAATTTTACGGGGGCTGAGTAGCCTCCCAGTACGATTTTGTCAGAAAATGACCGAATATGAAAATTTTCAGAAAAACCTGATACACCACAGTTTAGCACACTTCAGATTGCATAAGAATCCATTTTTGTTTGATCCGATTTCCAAAATTTTGGGGGCCAACCAGTAGGATTTTGTCGGAAAATTACCGAATATGGAAATTTTGAGAAAAACCTGACACAGTGCAGTTCAGCACTCTTCCGATTGCATAAGAATCCATTTTTGTTTGATCTGATTTCTAAAATTTTGGGAGGGCTGAGCGTCAAGTTAGCCCCTCATCTTGTTTTTCCGATAACGGTGGTTTCGGAACGGCACAGTTCAAAATATCATCGGCCCAGTAAAGCACATTTCGAGCACAGTAAGTGGTTTCAATTTTGTTAGAAAATTTGAATGTGGGGGGGCTAACTTGACGGAGCCGCGATAACCATCCATAATTTGTGAAAACTATTATTGTAAAAAATTCCTCTCCCCCGAAGCAAAAAGTTCCTCATGGGGGGCGGCAAAACAAGCTTTTGCACGAGGGCGACCAAAGGGCTAGAACCGGCCCTGCCTCTACTGCAACTCATTGGTCTATTGTGGCTCATACCAACAAAAACGCTACAAAGATGTTCTAAAGGAAAATATGGCAAAGTGCCGTATCGAATCCAGCAACTGGGAGACGACAGCAAATAATGATAGGCCCTCATGGCGTCGAGTAGTCCACGACGGATCACAAACTTTTGAAAAACAGCGACACAGACACAAGACGTTCTGAAAACAGGGACTGCAGAAAGGAGGAGGATGCTGCAAGACTTGGTGTGCTAAGACTGTGGAAGAGTGTGCGGCACCAGAATTGGTTTATAAAGCCATAAAGAAACGACCAATCGAAGACAATAAATAAAATAGAAGATAATCATATTCGGTATCGAGTGATCGCCTATAATCATGATTAAATTAGACCAAAGAATTTTTTTGTTATAGTAGTGTCAAAAATGACAAAAAGACCGAATAAAAAAATTAAGCTCGTATGTATGTAGAAAAATTGAATAGATGATGGTGGCCCAAAGAGAAAAACGACAGATTTCGAATATAATATTATGTAAGAACACCATTTTGTGAAAGGGAAAACTGACAGCACAGCGATGCCTTTTATCAAGCAGGCATTTGAATGAGAAACCATTTGTCATTTGTCACAATTCAACAAAACCTGTACCTATCTGTCGTTTTACCAAATTCAAATGATACGCCTCGAATTTGGTCCTGCCTGTACATACATTAGCTGGAATTCGGGATTGAGGTCTCTTACTCTTTTATGCTCCACTGGTTCTAGCATTGTTTTCGAGTAAACGGATCAGGAATATTTGTGTTCGGGTATCAAGAAATAAGTGAGAAGATTACAGAAGTGCAAAAGTTCCATTAACATGACACGAAGGGGCACTTTTGGAGCGGACAAAGTCGGGAATGCGCATTCTGAAATTAAAATAAAAAATATATATATATATAATTTGGGAATCGGTTTGGGGAATGCAGCAAAAATAAAGTGTACTCTTTAAAGTTTATCCGAGCTTTCGTAAATTAATACATAAATGAAGTACGAGCATAAATAAATATGGATAATCTAGTTGGTGTGTCTGTTCGTTTACACGAGCGTCCATGCTCGGAGCAGTAACATGTATACGAGTGACCTAATATCATTGACTAATATTAATTTGGAGTAAACAAATTTCGGCGTAAATTCTTGTGTAAAGAAGAGTAATTCCTTGAAGAATTGAAGATAAAATGTTGTCATTCGACCCCGAAGGTCTTTTTAGCCGCTTTCCAGCTGACGCTTATGAGCACGCAATCGAGCTTTTGCGCGCGCAAATGCTTCAAGCGCGTGTTCGTGTTCCAACCGTATTGCGCTTCGAATGCTGCTAACTTTTGCTTTTCAAACATAGAACACTGTGCTGCACCGTGCTTGAAGCACACAGCTGGAAAGCGGCTCTTGTGATTCGCTCAATTTTAGGCAAAAAGACGCACTTGGCCAATATGACATAATAGGGTGTTCTTTGTACTTGCTCTACCTGCTCGATAAATCAGGAGGATCTGCTAGGCAGTGATGTGCCTGTAGACAATGTCAACGTAAACAATTGATTGTCTACGCGTAGACAATTCGAATTGTTTACGTGAGCATTTGTCTACACATTGTCTACATGCGGCGTAAACAATAACTTATTTTAAAAAATTCGAAAAAAAATATCAAAAGTTACTATACTATCACTATCACTCCGATATCAGCATTCACTGATTATAAAATATCAGGAAAACCAATAATAAAATAAAAAAAAATTAAAAAAAGGAAAGTGTGAGGTTAGAATTGAACGTCATTTATATTATTTTACATTGTTGACACATTGTCTACATTGTCTACACGTAAAGTAGACAATGAAAGTCTACGTGTAGACGCACATTCCTGCTGCTAGGAGCTGATATTTATAAGCTTTATATATGGGACAAGTGAACGCCGATCTGCTGCTGAGATCTGCTTGAAGCAAGAAAAGCAGTACAAATGAACACTCTAAAAAATAAACTATTTATCCTTCTGAAAAATCACCTTCTGATCGGAGTCACCAGGGCGAATTCTTTATTCGGCGATGGATCCATCTGCTGTCAGAATTAAGAGAGCCATTCCGATTTTCTGTGAACTAGACAAAAATAGACTGGTCATTGATGGATCCATTGCTGAAAAAAAGAAAGCGCCTACACTTCAGATTGCCAGTCATGAGTCAAGTCAACGTCAAAAATTTGTTGTTGTGTATTGGATTTGACTGACTGAAAATTTGTTTTGAATTTTTGATACCTGTAACCAAAAAGGGTAAATAAATACTCTACAAAAATCCGGTAACATCTGAAAATATCTAAAGCGACAATGTGAGTTGATTGAGGATATTTATTTTAGATGCACGAATCAACTTATTTGCCCTTTTATCGGAGGGCAAAATGGAAAATCTTAAGGAGAACGACCAAGTCCCAGAAATTAGTTTTATTTTTGAGGAGGGTGGAAGAGGATGCCGAACTAAAAAGAGACATTTAGATCCTACCTGTTGTCCAGTTTGCAGTGTAACACTTCGTGAAACAGAAATGGATACACATTTACATGTAGAGCTTGATAAGCTTAACAAACTTCCGATTTCGAAAATGAAGGTAAATGGAAAATGCACCCCTTCTTGCTCCAATAGTAGCCCTTCAGACAATACATCTGACACAGATAAAAATTGGGAAACTTTTCAAAAAGTCAAAAACAATAGGCAAAACAGGTTACGTACAAAAACACGTAAAAGAAAAGCAGAAGAGCAACTTTGTCCTATTTGTAATAAAGATGTAATAGAAGACTTACAAACTCATGTAGAATTTTGTCTCAGAAGATCTGAAGAGAATGACTTTGAACACGAAGAGGAAAACGTTGATATCGAATCTTTTGAAGAATATGAATGGGCTGGTCAAAGCAGAATCCGTGCAACTAGCCTCTTACCTGGTGGTGTATCTAGCTTGGGTCAATCCTTACAAAATGTAAATAATGAAGATGAAGACCTAAATGTAGATGGTTTTGGTGAATTGTATGGTTCACCTCAATATTCAGAGAGGGACATTATTTTACCTAGTGAAGAATCAACACAAGATTTAGCCCTGAGAAAAGCAGTTATAGGAGATGAACTTAATTTTCCCGTAATTGCTGGAAAGGACACTATTAATAAGGCAAGTGATAATACTGATAGTAGTTGTAGTGGTGATCCAGTTCTAGAGGCCCTTAAAAATCGTATCAAGGAATTAGAGGAGCGTATTGAATGCAAAGATGAGATTTATAAATGTTTAATTTGTATGGATCGCTATCAAACTCCGGTAATCTCAATATGCTGTTGGCATGTGCATTGTGAGCAATGTTGGCTTCGAACTTTGGGAGCGAAAAAACTTTGTCCTCAGTGTAACATGATTACTTCACCAGCTGATTTGAGAAAAATATTTATGTAAAATTTCGAGTCTAGAAAATGGAAATCTTAATGATTTTTTTGTTGTTCACATAAATGACAGTATATTAATTTTGGCAGGCGCAAACACTATAAGGTATTAGCTTTGTTTTGCTTCGAAAAAAGGACGGTTCTAGAACGGTTTAAAACAATCGCACAGTTTATTATTGAAATTTGTGATAGCCGAGCCCTTGTCATTTTGTCTAATTTAACCGTCTTTTTTTTTGAACCAAAACAAAGCTACAGACAAAAACCAAAACCTTTTTTTTTCAAGACTCAGTGGTGGGACTCTGTGTCATGTAGAATTCGACATATTGAATGCCGCACAGTATGCCGAGCCTTGAAAATCCTGTCGATATGTAGAATTCTACATGACACGGAGTCCCTGGGCAGGTTTTTTGACTTACTGAATAATCAAAATATGATAATTGTGTTAAAATGAGAACTGTGTTATAAGTAGGTGCAGTTGGCCAATAAAGTAATGTCCCTAACTCGGTCACCAATAAAAACTTCATGGATCAAAAAAAAAACTGTTCAAAAATAATCATTTAATTTTTTATTGCTCCATGATTGGTCTATTAGTATTAGATGTACATAATTTTAAAAAAATATATATTTAAAGGTTTCTATTTTATAGGCCAGAAATATTTTGATTCAGGGCATTACTTTATTGGCTGATTGTCGAGCTGATTGTACATAATATCATGTTTGCAACAATCTTGTTCCAAATATCATTGTCATTTAACAAATATAGGTAGTGCATCATATTAACTAATCAAATATCAGCCCGCAGGATGTATTATTCCTTTTTTCACAGTGATCTATTCTTTATTTCTTTATAACAGGATTAGCAAACAATTCCCTCCACTCTGGTTTTTGGATGAGTTTTTGATGGATATTTGATATTTCCATACAAACTAAACTAAAGCTGGGTTTATACACGAAATAAAATAACATAAAATAAGAAATAAAATAAAATTAAAAGATGGCCTTATGAGAATCCATGGTGGCGTTTATACGCAAAAATAAAATAAGATAACAAAGAAGCAAAAATAAAAAGTTGGTTAACTTTTAACTTCTTATTTTATTTTATGTGAAAATGCTATTTGTGCATGTCACGACGTCGATTAGATTAGACCGATGACAGTTCAGGCGCGTGGTGATTGGTTCAAAATAATTCTAATTTTATTTTATATTTTTCTGTATAAACGCCTTATTTCTTATTTTGCATATTTTTTATGTTATTTCTTATTTTATTTTATTTTATTTCCTGTATAAATCCAGCTTAACACATATTTCCACCAAAGATTCTGAAAGTCCTCGCAAAAATCAAATTCTCTATTCGCCATAAAAAAAATTAACCAGATTTTTTTCCAACACTGCTTTAAGGTCTGGACACACATGACCGCACCGTATCCGCACCGAGCCCGCACCGAGTCCGTGCAGTAACACGGCAGTGTGTCGCTCAATAAGGTAAAAGCCACACATTTCCAACACACGGCCGCATGACGGTCGTACTACGAGTGTTATTTGTGAGGAAATGTAAACAAAATATTTTATATGGAGTCTTATTTTGGTGGAGATATATATCCTTTTGAAAATAAAACCTCACTTTCAGATTCACCCTGTATAGTAGGTATAATCAATTTCAACCTATTTTAACAGGATTCTTAATTGAAAATAAAACATATGTATTTTGACTTACCCTTTATTTCTAAATGCGTAGCAATTAAAGTCCATACCCTTTCCTTATATTCAGCATTCCTATATTTTTCATTTCTTTGGTCGTACAATACAGGATACTTTTTGACTTCTTCTATCAGTTTCTCCATTTCTGCAACGCACCGTGCCCGTCAAAAATTAAACAAAACTAATCTCGCACGGTACGGACGCGGTGCGGTGGTGTCACTCGGGCTCGGCGCGGGCACGGTGCGTAGATGTGAAGACTACGACATAAGAAAACACGGTACAACTATTCACCGAGACACGGCCGTGTCTCGGTGCGGGCTCGGTGCGGACTCGGTGCGGTCATGTGTGCCCAGACCTTTATAAGGTCTTAACAAGCCTGTTTTACATACAAAATTAAATGAACTTGAAGTACCTTATTAGAGATATGCATTTGCTTTATTTACTTTTTTTGTTTTATAAAAAATGCATATTGTTTCCTATTTATGCGTTTGGTTTTTAGTTTTTTTTTTTTTAGGTATTAGCTTGGGTATGAGTGAATTTTAGGCAACTTTTAATATAAGGTGCTCATGAAATGGAAAACGGCCATGTTAGCCTATGACTACATGATAAAATATCAATTTGAGCATAATATTATTTGTTGAAGTTTACTAAAATTAGAGATTTCAAAATGCGTAGTGTTATGAGTAAGCAAACAGGGTCCTTTTTTATTTTATAAACGCCAATACGATGTTTTTTAATGAATGCATAATATTCTATATTCTACCGAGTTAGCCATTACTGATAAAAATTCATTATACTTTATTCTAATAACTTTATTAAATTACCACAAATTATATTATTATCACAACATGTTCTGAAACACAAGAGTTTTTTTTCAGGTGGATATATACCTACTGACAAATTTCTACAAACTACCTATTTTAATATATGTACTTACATCACGGGTAATAACTCTTACATCACTTTTTTTATAAAACTTAGCTGGTGCACTTTATTCTTGTGCCAAATTTTCTTCTTGTTTGCCAATATATATTGTGGGGCTTGGGGCATGATGAACCACAATTCAATTTGGTTGATTTGGATTTTTTATGTTCATCAAATTTAGCTAAGGAGTTTTTAGTCCTGAGGGCAACAATAAAACCATATTTGAATGGAAGTTTCTAATATTTTTTGTCCTGTTGAACATCTTAGTGCGTTTGTTAAATTCTTATTAGGTAGCATAAACCTTAGATTGTGCCTATGTCATTATGATAAGTTTTCATGTGGCACCATCTGAGGTTATTGTTGGCTAAAAAGAACTTAACCAATGATAATAACTATTGACCTAGCCGCACTTAGTGAAAACTTGGAGGTTATACTAATAAAAAAAAGTATTCTTTCGAAAGAGCGATTTTTTGAACCTTTGCAGCTATATTTTCGAAAACTGTTTTTCTGCAAATGATTGGTGGACAACATCATCAAAAAAATTATATCTTTTTTTTTTTAAATGAAACTGTTCGTTATTATGAAAATTTGAACTTTTGGTAGTGGTTCGCATTTTCACCCTGGATATAATCTTTGTTACAATTGTTCATTTTTATTGATAAATTCTCTTAATCTCAATACAATTTGCCATCAATATTTGAAAATCGCAAATCAATACGATTTTTTATTGTCAAGATATTTGGATATTTGGTCCAAATTTACCTGAAGAAGGCACTGTGTGTCAAGAAATATGTTGTGATAGGTAATTTAATAAAGTCCTTTCATAAATCCCCATATTTTTATTTTCATACAATTTTGTCAAGTACATTATACATACCTAGTAATAACAATAATTATTATCAATGTATTTATCTGACTGGTACCTTCCTAATAATTAATTATTACAGCATAAAACTGCTCATTAGTTTTGTTAAATATGTATATTATGTCATTATTGCTGTCATAGGAAAAGTGTTTGTGCTTGATTAGGATTGCTTTTATCGAAATTTTTTTGATTAAGTTAGAAGCAAGAATTTTTTGTTGTAAACTCCTGAAATTAAGACCGTTGTTATTAAGTTTTTGTAAAAAATGTAAATATATTTTTTTTGTAATAAGTAGGCACTTATGATAGTTTTTTTTTGCCTATCAAGTTTGGTATTTATTAAATTAATGGTTCTCTTTCGTGCATAATAATAAAAATAACTTTGGCTTATTGAAAACAAATGTCTGAAATAATATATTCTCGTCAATTCGTGCAAACTGCAATATGCTGTCTTACGCCAGTGGTTTCGCAGATTTTGGTAATGGTATTTTCGAATTTTCAGTCAAATAAGAGTTGTTTTGACATAGCGCGACAGCACCCCTTGGACTGGATATACTTGATGAAGATCATATCAAACAAACACCAGTCCATTTTGACGGTATCACACATTTTAGTGATAGTAATGATGTTTTCGATTGCTTTGTATGATTTTCATTCAAATCAGGGTTGTTTTCACATAGGCCCACCCCACGGCATGTAAGGGGTTGTTCTCTGGACTAGACATACTTGAGGGTCATATCAAACCCTCTCCCAACAATATATAAATGGTATTTTCCATTTTTTTCACTGTTTTCCAGATTTCGATCGAATAAAAAAAAAGGCTGGATGACTTACAGTCTTATGAGATCAGTTAATCACAAAAATAAGCTGTATAAGAAAAATGCGAACGAAAAAACGCAAATGGTTTAAACAAAAAACTAGAATTCACATATTACAGTATTTTTATCAGCTAGTAACTCTCTGAACCTTAAATTCATAAATTATGTGGCTCCTAACTCTACAATCTACTTCCTATAGGAATCAGAAGTATCACAGGACTAGGACTCATGAAATTTAACCTTAAATGTAAAAGATATATATCCAGGAATGTGTACAGGTTTAAATCTTTATTATTTTAAAAAACGCCATACTGAAGTTATGGTAGAAGTAATGTGGAAACGTAACTTTGAGATTTATACAGGGTGGGGACTTTAACTGGAACTAATTCGCTAGAGCCTTCGGATAAAATATGAGGACGAAACGCAAAAACAACTTAAGATTTTTTCACAATAATTTTTTTATACAGGGTGCTCCAAGAACAGCTGTACGGTTATCAACTTTATTGTTTCAAATGGTAGCCCCTGTACAGGGTGTCCCAAAAAGATACCGACAAACTTTAAGGGGTAGTAGGGGACATCAAAACAAGCATTTTTGTTTATATAAACATATGTCCGCAAATGAGCCATTTGGGCTGTAGAGCAAAAAAACTGTTTGGTATCTAGTTTTATTCTTCGCAATAATTAAATCACTGTTTACTTATTAATTTTGCTTTAAAAGCAAATAAATTGTGGTTTACAATAATTGTTCAACTCGCGAACTCTTTGGAATATTCCGGGAATAGGTTCTACACGGGTACTAAATTGTGGTTTACAATAATCGTTCAACTCGCGAACTCTTTGGAATATTCCGGGAATAGGTTCTACACGGGTACAACTCGCCAGTTTCCTTGCTATCAGATCTTCCTCATTACGAACAGGTGTTTCGTAGACTAAACTTTTCAGTCAATGACCCGACGGTGTAATCTTTACATTGAAGTAAATGATCAACATTTTGAACAATTATTCTAAACCATAATTTATTTGATAATAAAGCAAAATTAATAAGTAAAAAGTGATGTAATTATTGCGAAGAATAAAAGTATCAAACAGTTTTTTTGCTCTACAGCCCAAATGGCTCAATTGCGGACATATGTTTATATAAACAAAAATGCTTGTTTTGATGTCCCCTACTACCCCTTAAAGTTTGTCGGTATCTTTTTGGGACACCCTGTATATTATGACATTTCTGGATTCTGCGTAAAATTCTAGACCTAATATTCCATTTTCAATGTCATATACCTATCTTCAACTGTTTTGGAAATATCGACAGTTGAAAATTGACTTTTTTACAACTTTGACAGGCTGTAAAACCTAACCGGTTAATTTTATAGCAAAACCCATTTCACATTCTCGTCTGTAACTTTGAATTTAACCAGAGAATAAATTTACCCAGAATTTTTAATCATGGATTAAATTCGAAGGTGGTGTCAGATGATAGTTTATGAAAAACTGAGACAAAAATGTATGATCGGTTTTGCTGAAAAATTAACCTTTTAGGTTTTACAACCTGCGAAAGGTGCAAAAAAGTCAATTTTCAACCGTCAATATTTCCGAAACAGTGGATGATACTGATGATAGGTATATGACATTGTGAAAGAAATATGTCTAGAATTTTCCGCAGAATTTAGAATTGTCAAAATATACAGGGGCTACCCTTTAAAAAAATAAAGTTGATAACCGTACAGCTGTTCTTGGAACACCCTGTATAAAAAAAATTAATGTGAAAAAATCTTAAGCAAAAAATGTTAATCGACGTGTTTTTGCGTTTTGTCCACATATTAGTCCGAAGGCTCTAGCGAATTAGTTCCAGTTAAATTCCTCACCCATAATCTCCCTATACAAATAGGTTTTTAATTAACAAGTGAATTAAAGGGGGTGTGACCCTAAAAAACGACTTATGCTACTTAAATTAAGAAAAAAATTCTAAGATCTCTCGTGAAAACCGCAGTCCTGTATTCAAAATAGTCTCCGAGAAAATTTCATTTGAAGATAAATTATGCAGGAGCTTGTGATGTCACAAACTCCGAAATCGCAGTATTCTG